CCCTCACAGCTCCCAGTACCTGCTCGGCACTCCTCCTATTCTCCCCGATAGTATCGGCCGCCTCGATCAGATCTCAGTACCGCTCTTTGATCATCTGCCTCAGCTCCTCGTTCTTCTGCTCCATCCCCGCCTGCACCTTCCTCTCCAGGGCCCTGATGTCCTCTGCGCTGTGCACCTCGAACAGAGCCCCTGAGTTCCGCATCTCAGTCAGCCTGCCCGCCACCATCTCTGACAGCTCGACCAGGGAGGCTGGATGGACGGACAGGCCGGGCGTGGAATATCATGGGAGTTGTAGTTTGAATGGGGGGTCCACGGGCCCACCTACCAGCCGCGGGCCCTAGTGCCCGAATGGTCAATCCGCACCTGGCGCCGCATGTGTATGTTTTGTGGGCTCAAGGGGCAGCTACTTTGGGCCCCACAGGGGTAGCCCTACTGCAAGGGTAATTTTTTTTTTATTTGCCCAGAGTTCTTCTGTAAAACGCAGATCATTATTTTCCACCACTACTTTTCCTTTACTCTGGATTTTTAAAACAATTGCAAAAATTTATGAGGTTGGATGTAATGTTTTGTGCAATAGAACACAGTCAATGCGTTTTTTATAGAGATGTATACATCAGAACAAAAAGGAGGATAACTAAGAAAGAATTATAAATGTGGTTCCCAAAAAAGCAGTACCTCCCAAATGAGTGCATTTGGGAGCTATGTTGGGAATTTTTGAAGAGGGAAGTAATATAAGCACGGAATTGTAAGCAGTTAAGCACCCCGGCTTAAGCACCCTAATGCCTGGGCATTTGCGTCATGTGATCAGTCACAATGGGAGCCCAGGAGAGAATCTTTTTAAAAAAAGTCAAATTAATATTTAAAGACTTTATTAAAAATTATTTGTCACCTAATAATTCCAGTATGGATCCAGTAAATGTGAAATTATTGTCTCCTGTTCCAGGAATGGCCTGGGCAGTGATAGCACGTCGTTGCATGATACAGTTCAAATTTCCCAGGTTGTGTACCAATAATCTCATGCTTAGGCATTCTTTAAAGGAGAACTATGAGGTGAGTGATTTTCACTCGCCTCATAGTTCTAGCCGACCTGTGACAATGAGACTGTCACAGGTCGGCTCAGTAGATCGGGAGGTGAGCGAACCTATACTGGCGTTCGCTCACCTCTAGATCTTGTCACGCGCTGACTGGCGGAACGGACGGGAGAGGGGGCGGGTACAGCTGGCTCCGCCTCTAGATAGGCAGAGCCAGCTGTCACTCACGCAGCTGGGCGGATCTCGACATCGATGTCGGGATCCGCTGCGGCGTCTTCGCAGTATACTGAGCTTAGGGTAACGGGAGGACGCTAGTTTGTGTCCTCCCGTTACCCTAAGGAGAACTATGGGGAAAAGCCCTGACCCCATAGTTCTCCTTTAAACAATCATCTGTGTTGGATTAGGCCAGCATTAGGTTATCGACTTCCTTCCCCCTTCTTACTTCTCAGTCATAGTATGCCTGATTTGAGTTCTGTCAAAAAAATATTGGACTTCCAGTTCTTATCTCTATCTATGGTTGGATGTATTTCATGATTCTTCCTTCATAGTTGCCCTGCAGCAGACAACTAACTCCCTGAGTTATCTGCCAAGCACGATCAGCCCTTCCAGCTGCCCAACCCCGTTTTGCACGTTTTCAGTAAGTGCTGTTGGACAACTGCCTGGTTGCACCACCTATTTTTGCAAATTGTGACCACTTCCTCAATGTCACAAGCGTAGGAAAGTGACAGTCTGATCAGCCTGGTTGCTGTAAAGCCCCAGCTGCAGCTAATGGTGTGACAACTTCTGCTTTGTTTCAGCTAGGAAAGAAACCCGGTGACTTGGAGTAAAAGAATTGTTCTTTTGTTCGAGGTCAGGGCGGAATAAAAGAGAAGCACAATATTTAAAAGTATTTAGGCAAATTTCAGAACCAGTTTAACCTTTCACGTAGACAGAGATTTAACATTGAACGTTTGCAGATATAAGCTATAGGAAGGTTGTTTAATAACACACTGTTTACCATCATTTGGATGGGACAGTGCATAGTCTGCCAGGAAAAGTAGTTTTAGGGCCTGTGCACACAAGCTTTTGGTCATATCAAAACAGTCAATGGGAATGGAAAAGTAGATTGATACAGGAGGTCAGCACCTGCAAGTCAGACGGCGGCCAACTGCAGGTCAGGTGCTTCTATGAAGCTTCTCGAACTGATGTCCAATGCAACCTAAAAGCACGTTGTTTCAACCCCAGTTCAAGTTATTGTCAAGCTACAAGATATAGTGGACCTCAAGTGCAGTCCCTGACATCAAATGGCCACATATAATGTTCAGTATGTGTACTGCTAGTATGGACTGTCAGAGACTGCTGATATACAGCAGGAGATGGTACGAGGGTCGAGGCATGCTACAAAAGACAGTAAGAGATTGGGAACATGTTACACAAGGCTAGTACAGATCACTGCTATTACCTCTGTAGAAATCAGTGCCAACACTCCAACTGCAGACAGCTGGGGCTTGAGGGCTGCACAACACGTACCAAAGGGACACATATGGCCTTCCAGCTGCAGGTTGGGGACCAGGACTTTAGACTGATAACTGGCACAACCATAGGGAGTACATAATTTGCCTTTCTAAATATTAAAACATTATTTGGGCAGGATGGAAAATGTAGATGTAGACTACGTATGCACTTTACTTCATCATTGTGCACTCTTTGCCTTATATTCCATATTAACCATATTATGAAAGCAAACCTGGCAAAAACTTGACCACTTCAACCCGAGCATGTGGTAAAAATACATTAGCAGAAAACCGCTTGCCAAAAATTAGTACATATGGTCAGCTGATGTTATATACATGTTTGCTGTAAAAGATAAGCTTGTCCCACCTCCCAAGCCTCCCTAGTCATAAGTGAGGCCTTTATGTAGTAAGTAGATCAACCAAGAAAAAGTTTGGAAGGCAGGAAGTGGTGGGACACAACTTGAGATTTGTATATAACTTCAGCTGCCTATACCTTTTATCTACAGATTGTTTTGACGTGTGTTTTTCACTTCTTTATTTTCATTGTGTTGAGGTTGAACTGCCCAGGTCCCTGACTGCGTAGGGTGTTCTTTATAAACACCACGCACCGTAACCTTTACAAGTGTGCATGTTGTCTTTCGTGTTCTGTAAGGCATAATTTAGGTCATTTGGCAGTGTGTGGCTATATTTATATGCAAGGACCTGCCTGCTGTAACTTTATTTCCAACCTCTAAACTGCATAGAACTTCCTTGTAAACACGTTCTTCCCCTTCAGTGACTAGTACAGATGATTACATTTATTTGCAATTGTGTACAGAGCAAAGTACAGCAGCCCATGGAAGCCGGTTAGAATGTATTTTGTCTTTCTTCTCTACACTGTTGAACTGTCATTAATTGTTACGGGTTACTGCACACCCTTCCTCTCTGTGCTCTTAGATGTAGCCAATTGGTTAAACTGTGCAATGTATTTGGTCACTGTCTTTTGCTTGGTATTGGTGCAACGTGAAGAAGGCAAAGAAGCCTCAAATACTGGTTCTGAAATGGTACATTGAGCTGGACAGCTCAGAAAATACTACTTTATGTTAAACATGAATTGCTCATGCAGGTTGCTTTAAAAAAAAAGCCTGTGCAATCCCAGAGATTTCAGCAACTTTTGCTTACAACATGGGCCAAATGGAGCCTACGGAACAAGGGTAATGGGTGCCCATATGTACTAATGGCAACAAACCCTTAGAACAACCTATTTTAATGTATCGTATACAAAAGTGGTGTGACTTATTTGTGCTGGAAGTGTTTTTTATTTACTTGATTTGTGAAATATGAAATGTTAAATTTCCCTACCACAATGCTTAAAATCTTCTGATAGAAATACACATAATTACTTATTTTCCATTTGGAAAAAAGCTTTTTGCCTGGCCTTCATGCCAATCCAATGGCTTCAGGCCACTGACCCGAAATAAGGATAAGGATAGAAGAGTTTTGTTTTCACTCTGACTTCTCTGCCTGCATGCCTAGAAACAGTCAATTGGCATTTTTAGGGGAAGGTCAATAATGGCAATCTATATGGCCAGTGAGTATCCCTCTTACCTTTTTCTCTTTTGCAGCATATTGCTTCCTCCAAAATCAGTGGTTTTCGATTTGGATGAAAGTGAAAACCACCTAAAAATGCCTCAGGGTCATTGCTGTTTAGTGTGTATGAAGCGATATATGAAATTATTTCAAAGCTGAACTCCAGGACTTTTGTAAAAAATGCCCTTGCAGTGCCCCCTCTGCACTGCAAAGGTTAACTGCTCCTTCAAGTAGAACTCCAGGATTTTTAAAAAGTAACCTTTTGTAGTGGGGCTACCCCTGCACTGCAAGGGTTAAGTGTTCCTTTGTCTAGGAGGCAAAAATAGAGAAGAAATGCTCACCTGATCCTCGGTCTTGCCTGGCTGCTGGGTCCCTGTAGCCTTTTTTCCCCTGGGCCCAAGCAGTTATCACGTCTAATGCAGTCCAGTAGCAGTGAGGACACTGAGGGACATGCCACAGCTGCATCAAAGGTCACTGCCGCAGGACTAAGGATCGGGTGAGTATATATTTTTGCCCCTAGATCAAAATGATCAGTTAGGGTGGGGAAAGGGGGGGGGGGGGTGTAGCTCCACTGTTCTTTAAGTCTAGGGGTAGAGCAATACATTGTAATACTTACCTTAATCCTCAATCCGGCAGGCTTCAGCTCTCTCCTCTTTTCTTCAGCCTTCATGTATGGGTGCGGGCCCTTGCCCTTCTAATGCACAATGCAGGACTGCTGGTTCTTCAGTGTATGTGATGATGTCAGAGTGTGACCACTGAAGAGAAAAGGCTTTGAAGGATCAATGGTTTAAGAGCTCTGTTCACAGTCCTACGCAATGATTCACCATATTTCTTTATCTTTCTCTGATTTGAAGGAAACAAGGTATCGGCTCAATCTATATTTAAAGTGATGTGGTTTTATTTTCAGGTATTGCTCTGGAAAGCTGTGCCGCAATGGATTTCATGAGCACGAACAGCGACCAGAAGGAAGACATGGAGCTGTTGCTCCCCTATTTCAATGTGTCTGATGTGGTCACGATAATGGAAAACCTCTATCGAGATGGGGAAGTATGTGACGTTGGCAAGAGCACGGATAAAGTGTGTCAAGAGACTTACTACGAAGAGAGGACGGACTCTTTATTCCTCAGCGGACAGGAAACCTCTTTGTTGTCTTCTGTTAAATACGGAACCACTAAAGAGTTGCTCAGGTTTGCTAATCAGCTAGCAGATGCAAGAAAGCATTTACACCAATGTTTGCAGCAGGAATGTGGAATCATTCTGAACAAGGTAAGACAACATACCTACCTCCTACAGTCTTATAGGTGTAGGGGGCCTCAGTTGGGCCTTAACTGAAGTAGAGAACGTTCAGGTCACCAACCTGGCTACACTGTATCAGTGTGTAAACCTCAGGACTGGATGGACATAAAAACAATTCCTTTGAGAGGTCAAACAGCTCTTTTATATATATTTTTAACAGTTTTCCTAAAGTCAACGTAAACCCCTGGGGGGGGGGTTAATGGTTAGTAGTATTCCCCTGTAGTATTCCCCCAGCTTCCATACTACAGGAGTTGAAGTCACCATTATGCCGTTGAAATTCCAGGGAAAACGCCAAACCTTGCAAGGAGGCATTGCAGCACAGCATGAAATCATTGACCTTTGCTACTCAACATTCACCAAGATCTTGCTGGCACACTAAATAAGCAGACCTTGTTATTTAGGTGCAAGATGCACTCTAAAGTATCCTCAGCACAGGACATCATGTGAACAACATTAATATAAAGATCACGGGGCGGGAAGTTGTCAAGCAAAAATGGACTACAAAAACAAAGTCCTGAATGCAGTTATGTCCATGCGAATCAGTCTTTCTGTCCTACTGCTGATTTTTCAATTACAGGGGTTGTAGAGAACCATAATATCTGTAAACATTAGAAGCTCATGGTTGCCTCAGCAGGGAAACTTGCTATTATTCAGGTGCAGGAATTCTTGGAGATGTAGTAGTGCAACCGGTTAGTCGCCCATGAAGCCCCCACTGACGTGCATACCACTTAGACATACAGTAGCTGTCTTACTTTAAAATGACACTAAATTCAGGAGTTAAATCTTATAAATACATTGAAGTACCTTAATTATTAACAAAAATTTGTGTATCACTCGGCTGTAGATCCGCAAATCATCTCTGAATTCATACTGACACTGTCCTTCCTTCTGAAGGGTGGTTACTTTTGTTCCTCATGGCCCCTGTGTGTGTTGTAAAGTAGCCACCACTCCAAGCTCAGTCCTGTTATGGACTACAATACAAATTAGTAAACTAAACATTAGATTGTAGTCCATCCCGGGAGCGAGCTTAGAGCGGTGACTACTTTACAACACACACAGGGACCATGGGGAGCAAAAGTAGCCCCACTCCAGAAGGAAGGACAGTGTCAGCACCAATTCAGAGATGATATGAGGATCTACAGCCGAGTGATACACAAATAAGATACATTTCTGTGATACACAAATAAGATATATTTTTGTTAATAGGTAAGGCACTTGAATGCATTTTTAAGATTTATCTCCTGAGTTTAGTGTCATTTCCAGAACTAATGCTTTGGTATTTATTTATAAATAAATAGTGACGTTACCACTGAGCTTTCCATTGAAAGAGTGACTAGCTGCAGTTTGGTGTTTACAACCGGAAATTGCTGTCTTGCCATGGGCTAAATGCTGTATTCACCACACCTAGTACTAGCATTCGTGTTTGTTGCTTCACACTGCTTATCTCACCTCATCTGCTGGTGGTTTGTTGCGTCAATACAAATGATCATTCACACATAATGAGACTAAGCAAGTTTATTCTCCTATTACTTAATACTTAGCCAGTTGTCTTCACTATGACTTAACTTGGCTTAGACTGTGTAGCGCCCATCATATAGAACGCTAAACACAAATTTACTTTGCTGTCCCTCTGCTTTAATAGCGTCAGTGTTTTCTGACACATTAATCCGGATTAGGAATTCTGCCATTCCATATGCTTGTTTCCAGTCAGTGTCTTCCAATGTATTGAAAATAGAGGATACCAGACACCAGCATCTTCAGAAAGAGGTCTGCAATGGCAATCTGTTTTGTTTTCTTCAGTACATATTTCCTCTATGTAGAGATTTTTATGACAGAGTGCCTCTGCTCAAGCAAATATCTGAACAGGCAATGCACTCAATGCCAGGTTTAGCATGCAAAAAATAGCTGTTGGAGAGCTACCCTTAGGAGAGGAGGGTTGGATCCATGAGCACGGGCCAGAAGTCTTTTGGTTGATGACCAAGATCCAATAATTGTCAGTCCATGTTGAAAAGATGAACAAAATAACTAAAAAAATGTATGGATCCCTGGTGTCTAATCTAGCCACTAATGGCTTGGTCATGTGCAGAGCATCATAACAAAGGGTGTAAAAAGCCTGAAAATTAATTTTCTTTACAAAGCAGCCACAGCCTGAGTAAAAATGCCTGTCCCCTGCCAGCATGCTGCATGGTGGGACGCTTGGTTTTTGTAGGGAAGCTGTGGTCTCATTGCAGAGGTCCAACATGCTCCTTGCTGTGAGCAAGGGTTCCTCTCTGCAGCTGCTAACAAGACTTTCCTACTTGGGATGTGAATAAATGAAAAGTAAGCCTTTTTGAGCATCTTTTGTTTTTAAGTACTGGACTGTATATAACAGTTTAGAAATATCTGTTGTGTGTTTTTATTAGAAGGCTGGATTCTAGAAAGCTGGATTCTGCTCTCCATAGAAAATAGTTGTGATTTCAGTGCCTCTGTTGTAAATTTGCAGATTAATTTCTCTACAATGTCAATAGTTACTGAGGAGAATGATGGCTTGTATTAGTGTTTTTACTGACTGTTTAGATAAATAGTTTAGTTCCTTTACTCTGGCCATAGGTTCCCTTGAAGATGACTTAAAATGACACTAAACTCAGGAGGTAAATCTTAAAAATGTTTTTAAATACCTTAACTAATAACAAAAATGTATCTTATTTGTGTATCGCTCAGCTGTAGAACCTCAAATCATCTGTGAAGGGGTGTTGACACTGTCCTTCCTTCTGGAGGGTGGCTACTTTTATTCCCCACGATCCCTGTGTGTGTTGTAAAGTAGCCACCGCTCCAAGCCCGCTACCGTGATGGACTACAATCTCAATACAAATTAGTAACTAAACATGAGACTGTAGTACATCACAGAGTGAGCTTGGAGCGGTGACTACTTTACAACACACACAGGGACCATGGGGGACAAATGTAGCCCCCCTCCAGAAGGAAGGACAGCGTCAGCACCAATTCAGAGATGATTTGCGGATCTACAGTGATATGCAAATAAGATACATTTTTGTTAATACTTAAAATACTTGAATGCATTTTAGGATTTAACTCCTGAGTTTAGTGTCACTTTAACTGTTGTTGCTGTACATTTTCTTGTTTTAGCATGTATCGCTGCATTATCTCAATGAATTTGACCTTTGTTCGGATCTTTAATTGATAAAACACACCAGTGAAAATGTTGCTTGAGTTGCTCTTTAGCTTTGCATCTTTAATTATAAATGTAATGGTGACAGTATATCTATTGTATGTATAAGGTCTCTTCCACAACTCTAGTATGCACAATGGATGTTACATATAATACTAGACTAATTGGTAACAGGCAGACATTAATATTTTATCTCTCTTCCCCAGATGCTCACCATCAGGGATGGGCGATACCAGACAGACACTGATGTGCTGCTGTTTCAATGGAAGATGACATACAGGAGTATTGGCTCAGGGTTTATCCCCAGGGGTGCTTTTGGGAAAGTCCACTTGGCACAAGACACAGAAACCAGAAAGAGGATGGCATGTAAACTGGTAGGTTGCTGCAAGCATGTTTTCACTAAACTGCATCTGCCTTTTATTTTTTCGAGAAGTGATTTTACTGAAGACACAAAAGGGTTATGAAGCAAATACTAACCATTTAGATGCATCAATCTTTGATGTTCTATATTAAAGGGGCACTGAATTCAGCAATTTAATCCTAAAACATGCATTGAGGTACCCTATTAACAAAATTGGACCTTATTGTGTATCACTCGGCTGCAGATCCTCAAATCATCTCTGAATTGGTGCTGACACTGTCCTTCCTTCCGGAGAGTGGCTACTTTTTGTTCTCCATGGTCCGTGTGTGTTATAAAGTAGCCACTGCTCCAATAATGATCCACCATAAATAACTCCAGTAATGAATGCATTTTAAACTCGTTAGAAGTTCACACAGTGGCAGACCTTAGGGCTCTTGAAAAGTGATAAGTGCTGCATCGCTTTTCAGAGGACGGTTGACAGATGCTTTACATGCATTAAGGAGGCATTATTTCAAGTTTCCTGAGATAATATCAATGTTTTCAAGGTAACTTAATGTATTTCCTTGTCTTCTTTCCCTTCGTTCAATTAAGAAAATAATATTGTGTTTTATTGACATTTCAATAGAAGGAAGTTTGTCTGCCATGAACTTCCTTGTCCTATGATTGCTCATATATTGAGTTCTTTCCAAGCACGATGCAATAAACACATTATTACAGATGTTAGGCCAAGAGCAGAGATCAAGGTGAATGAATGTATATAAACCAATCGGCTATTGTCTGTAATAGCTGTGGTTGCTTTAAACTGATGAAAGGTGTAATGTGATAGATTACTAATGCTTATTACTTACCACTGCTCTTTGTACTGCCATATTAAATGTCCCTGAGGATGAGTGTTCATGAAATAGGTGAGAAGATGGTAATAATCTAAATACACATAAGATGCAGAGCTTACTTTAGAAGCACCAAAAGATGAGATGATTGATGTCTAATCCTGTATCTGTGTACACTTTTTGATGTCCATATACAACCTCTGGATGTCCAATCATTGGGCAAGTAGAAGGTGTACAAAACCTAAGATATACAGTATTTATATTGTCTACATGTTATATAACACTTTTCAGTGTACATCAAGTACATAGACCCATACACATCAGTCTCTGTTCCCCTGAAGGAACTCCCAAGCTAATGTCCCTACCATACTCATACCCACATTGGGGGCTGTCTGGGAAGAAGCCAGTTAACCTACCTGTGTGTTTTTGGGATTGCGGCAGAGAAATCAAAGATTTTGAAGGGAACCTGTGCAAACAGAGAATATACAAACTCAAGCATGTAATTATAGCAGTAGCAGACCTTGCCACTGCTATGGAGCCCAGAAGCATAGGGGACCCCCAAGACTGTCTGCTGACACAGTGATTTAAAGCTGAACTCTGGTTATAAATGCCACGTGTGTGCCCCCCTGTATATTTTAGATGTGATTGCTTGTCTAGTCTAGAGCAAGGCTAGCCAAACCTCGACCCTCTAGCTGTGGTGAAACTTTAAATCCCATCATGGGTCTGCCTCTGGAAGTCATGGCTGCCAGAGTCTGGCAATGCCTAATGGGATTTAAAGTTTCACCACAGCTGGAGAGCTGAAGTTTGTCTACCCCTGGTCTAGAGGGATTGTAATAGAGAGTATAGTTTACTGTAATCCACATTCACAATGGCTTCCTCCCCACAGGGTCCAGTATTGACAACCAGTCCCACTAAGTTGCTCCTTTTCTTCTGTCATGTGGCCAACCCATGGCTGACGTCATCCTGTACAATGCAGGACCAGTGGCCACCGCTGTAAGCAATAAATCTAATGTGTTTTAAATCTGAGAATTTCTACATGATTGTAATAAGAGCAGTTAGTAGAGGATTTTAGATTAAAAAAGCAGAGACAGGGGAGGCTCTTAATAGTTTTGCTATATATAGTTCAGCCCACACAATTTTTCTCTTTCCCCACCCACAGTAAAGAGCGTGGATGGAGGAATCCCTGCTGCCGTCAATTGTACTCGGCAGCGGCTGCTCCAGTGGTTGCTGAATACCTGAACAGTACTCACATCTCATTGGATGCAGGCGTTCTTTGGTCAAGAATTTTCAGACTGGTTCTTTTGACAAAAGTTGAATGAAAGATCAACTTCTGTCGAGCAGGTGGTGCCAGCAGGGCCACACACTGCTTGGATTTTGGCCAAGTAAGCAGGACTCTGAGTTGGCAGAACTGAAATTCGAGCAGTGTATGGTGAGCTTTCAGTCACATCCCTGTGCAAACCCCATGCATATAGTGTCCCAGGTGACCCATGACTTAGAGGTTCCAACTCTCCCCTACTCAAAACTGAAATAATGTTGGCCGGAGTTTTAGTTTTGAATTCATATTTACGAATTAAATTCAACTAACTACGTTTAGAATGTATGAAGTGCAGCTGATGGGCATCAAGCAGAGTTATCTTTCATCGGTTGAGAGTATTTGGATAGTGAAAGATAAAGCAAGATGCTGCAATAGATTACTGGTCATTGATCTTGTTGAGTAAAGGCCAATGAGTAGAAATAATACTTATTACTGCAGGTTACATTCTGTTGTATATAAAATGGTTGTGGTGGAGTAAAACCTTTTATATGTATCTCCACCTGTTGATGATTGTTGTTGTAAAGTATTATGTAATATGAATGTGAGTACAATGGGATGATATGTGCCTGCTAGGTCTTCCTTGCAGGATGCAAATCACACCTGAAAAGCAGGGTGGATGATGTATGATTAATACAGCAATGAGCAATTCCCAGCTGTCCTGATCACATGCCATTGTCACCACTCATGTCTGTCCTCTCTCCATCTCTACCAAAGATCCCCCTGGAGCAGTTCAAGCCAGCCGATGTGGAGTTTCAGGTGCAGTTTCAGCATGAGAACATCGCCGAGTTATATGGAGCTGTATTGTGCAACAACATGGTTCACCTGTACATGGAGGCCGGGGAAGGAGGCTCCGTCCTGGAGAAGCTGGAGAGTTGCGGCCCTCTGCGCGAATTCGAAATTATTTGGGTGACGAAACATATCCTTAAGGGGCTCGACTTTCTACACTCCAAAAATGTCATCCACCATGACATAAAACGTAAGTGAGCCATCGCTTCAGTCCACTGCTTGACCTTTATTGTGAAATGTGCTAAAATGTTTTATATACCTGTATAATAAAAGGTAGATAGCCGGTGCTGTTGGAATTACTAAATGCGATGGGCACGATAATAAGGCACTGATTACATTTTAAAATGGCGCAGTTTGCAACATTTATGCAAGCTTGCCGAATGAACAATGAATCTCAATGCATGTTTCTGTGGAATGCGACATGTGCATCAGAAATAGGCCAATTCCTCTTGTGACATTTCGCAATTTGTGCAACATGTAATTAAAAAGATTGCTTATATTTTATATGTGTAGAATAGGCACATCGGTGCACCACATAGTGGGTGGCGCAGGACTCCTTATAAGCTAAGGAGTCACTGCAACATAATAAATAATTTGGCTCAATTTGCCATTTTGTGTGACATTTTTGCACATAATTTTCCTTTTGCAGTGTCACCGATAGTTTATTGGGCACAGTGAATTAATTCAATGGAGTCTAATACCTGATAACCTGAAAAATGTTGTGTGGCTGCCCACTTGCTCTGCAACTTGCTAATTGAGAGCTCTGCTCTTTTGTTCTGTTTTGTCCCAGCTCACATATGGCATTTGAAGAGGAAAGACCATACACATGTCCTAATTTATAGAATTGTTTACAATTATCTTGACCTCATGGACCCCCTTAACTGCAGGTGTTTTCTTCACACAATCGGCTGTCGTTTTCCTCAAATCTCCCTAATGATGTAATGGAGCTTGTTTTAGATGCCAGTAGTGCATAGTGGAGTTCTCATTTAAAACCCATGTGTAGTAACTTTTAGAGCCCCAACTCTCTTCTATAAAGGCGTTTGGTGGACCAACTATTCAGATTGCAAGTATTGTCACTCCGCAATACCACATTTTACCAACAGGTGGTGCTGTAATTGCAATTCCGAGTTCTGCCATAATCTGGGAACAGCCGGAAGGGGAACACTCACTATTAATGAACAAAGGTTTCCAAAAAAGGGCCCATCTTAACAGCTCATTCAATTTCTTTGCAGGCAAACCCTCGCACTACATAGTTTGTGGTAGCTCAAAAGGCGATTCTATAAACAGATTGTATAAACAGATTGTAATGTAAATGGCCAAATTAGGGAACATATAAAAATTCAGGTCTTATTCGTTCCTATGACATCTAGGAAATCACATCGTATTGCATAGTACTGTGTCAATGAATTCTTAATTTAGCATTATGTACAGGAAAAAACATCATACTATTTCCTGTGACCCTGTTATGATTCTATCAGCTGAACCACAGAAATTTACTATGCAAAGTTCTCTTGACACCATGAATGTTACCTTCATGTCGTTAAGGTTACACGTCAGTAAACCAAAACTACTCATTTTAGGTTGTTTTTTTCAAGGAACTCTATGACACAAAGCTGGCCACACATTTAATGTTTGGCCATACAAAAAAACCTCTAGATTCCCCCGTCCACATTAAACAGCGTGAATGGGGAAATCCCATTACACACCACCACCCTGACTGATTGGCTGCAGTCACTGTTTCGCCTGAGAATTTTCAAACCGGCTCCTTCTACAAAAATCAAATAAAAGGTTTCTTTTGTGGAATGTAGTTTTGCCGACAGGGCCACCCACTGATCACATTTCGAAATTACCTGTACGGATTACGACGTGTAGCTGCGTCCTGTCATTGAGTTCAGGTGCAGGTTTCTGCATGGACCTGCACGCTGTGCATCTGTGCACATCCATGTGCATCAAGCCTTCGTGTTCGGGCTAAGGTGACAAGTCAGAGAGCACAAAATAATATGCTATAAATCCCAACAACCAATCAGCAGTCCTCTTTCATTGCTAGGATGTAAATTGGAGTGTAAGGTCTCATTCTCACTTTCAGTGTTTTTATGCGTTTGCAGGAAATGTCTAAATCCATAGTTTTGATTGTAAGCTCCTATGAGCAGGACCCTTCTAACTCTTGGATTGTTTAATAACTGTACTGTCTCCCTTTATTTTTTAAAGCACCGTGCAAACGGTTGGGATTTTAGAATTAATAAAATTATTGATAAAATCATAATCATTATAAATAATAAAATTAATAATATTATTATTTATTATTATTAACAAATGCAATGATTTTAAAGGTTAAAGCACCTGGGTGCATAGACATGAATGGCTGTTTGTGTCCATCCGCTGGTACTCATGTAAACCCACGTATGGTATGGATGTATTCTCAGTGTAGGCTTTCTGTGTTTGAAGAATACATCCTTTTACTATACGCAGGTTTACATAAGCACTGGTGTATATCCACATACAGTCATTGATGTCTGTGGGCAGCTGTAGGCAGCACCTGGGCTTCACGGGTGTTGAAACAAAATCCAGAATTTTTATGTTGCATGCCCAAAGTACCCATGCGCATGAAATCGGTGTACCTTTGGATAAATTAGATACTCTGTATGTAAACGCACTTAAACACGTGTAAGTGCATGTAAACACAAGTACATGCAGGAGAACTTTATTTGGGAGGCATAAAGTCTGTTAAGGGCTCGTTCACTCTAAGCGTAGCATTAATTGCACAGTAGCATGAGATTAATGCACGCTAGGTGTGTTGTGCATTAGTGTGCGTTAATCTCATGCTACTGTGCAACTAACGATACGCTTAGAGTGAATGGGCCCTAAAAAACCTTATGCTTAGCACCTCCCAGATGCCAGGTGCTGCAACCCAGTGCAACGTGGGTACTGCAATACTATGCGTTGTGTTGAATTGCAGTGACAAAAGTAGTGCATTGAAATTAATGACAATGCAAAGCACCTAGCGCATGGTAATGCACGCTAGGTTCATTGAATGATAGCATGTTTTAATCACATGTTATCATGCGATAGCTCGTGTTATCGTACAATGAATGCTATGCTTAGGTGTAAACGGGGCCTTATACGTCTGTCCCATGCACACAAGCCTAATGCAGTAAGCACAGAAGACGTTATACAAGAACTATTTTCCTGTGTTTAGATGTTCCCAGGTTTACATGCGTGTAGGCGTGTAGAGCCAGGATAAGCAGTCCCAGGACACGGAACAAAAACACAGCTAGACTGAATGGTGTTCGTTCTAGGTGTGCATTCAGCCATAACAAAGCATTACATGCTTCCAGGGACCTTTAGAGATGAGCTCCAAATTCTCCAGGACGCACATATTTTAATTCCCATGTGCATGAGGCCTAAATAACCCAAATGCAGGAGGCCAGTGTGAATGTAGTGTTATTGGTTGTTGTAGGTTCTATATGATGCTGAATAAGCCTGTGCATTTTGATGTGTCCATGCAAAGTTTTTCCGGTATAATGTGTAACTTCTGCTTATCGTTCTTTTAATTACAGCCAGCAACATTGTCTTCATGTCCACAAAAGCCGTCCTGGTGGATTTTGGCCTCAGCATTCAGATGACGGGTGACCTGTTTTATCCGAAGGACTTAAGGGGAACTGAGGTAATTAGCTGTGATTTGTCCTGTGGCTTGGAATACTCGGCCTATTCATAGTTGGGACATATCAATAATAGCTCTAATCACATTGTGGAAAGAGGGAAGAAGGAATGTTTGGGACTTCTGGCTGCTCGTTTCTTCCCCTTTTCCAGCACTAAAGTGTAATCTGTTATTGAACACAGATAGGAGAGAATTGTTAAAAGCACACGCTATTGTATGAAAACAGAAGGCTGTTAAAATATTACTTCCTCATCAGAAGGTGCACACATCTCATTTCATAAATACCTATTTCCTATGCTCCTCGGCTCCATCTTGTGGCCAAAATGCAGTATTATACTACAATCGACCTGAAAAGAAAATATATCTAAGAACATTAATTTTTGCAAACGTTCAGTAGGAATTGTAGGGCAATTGGCTCTGCAAATTGGTTATAAATAGACTCCTAAACATATTAAAACCAAAGACGGCTAGGAAAGAAAGTCTGCAGGTTTCCTTTCAGATATTGGACAAGTTAATGGAAATGGGGCCAGATGTTGCATAGACTACTGGCTGAGGGCAGCAAGGCTGCAAGGGGTGGCACAGAGATACCCAGATATGTTGGAGATTCATAAGCACACTTCCGTGTACTTGAAAGTACTCAAAAGGGGCTAAAATGTTCCAACAGCGGGCCTTCAGTGTTGCCGGCCCTACACAATTTCCGTATTTTGGTTGTTAGAGTATTGTGGACTTACAAACCACCTGTAAGCATAGAACCAAAATTCTTGCAGTGTAAAGTGAGAGGTCGCCAACTTTTCTTATCATCGGTTCTGGGTGTACTGCTTCAGAGTGGGCAGATAGTCTCCCTTAATCTTCTCCATCCCCAACCTGCACATTCCTTGTGTGACTATGACCTCTGGTTTTAGGGATGCAATACTAAGGATAGCCAGCTGACTGGGGGGCACACAGGATTGTTGGCCTGGAATGGGGGGCAGGGTAGGTTCTAAATGCCTTCAAGCCATGTTCAAAATCTAAACACTTTACTTTCTCCAAAAGGTCCGCTCTGGCCAAATGTAACCCTTCTATTGTGTGTGTTAAATCTACAGAGCCCATACCTCATGCAATGCTCTCTGTGCTTTGAGGTATTTTTCTGGTGTGGTTTTGGTTATTTATATATAAACAGTTTCCCTATGTGCTTTCTGACAGATCTACATGAGTCCAGAAGTGGTTCTGTGCAGAGGACACTCTACGAAGGCTGATATATACAGTATGGGTGCCACCATCATTCACATGCAGACTGGAAATCCACCTTGGGTGAAACGATACCCGCGATCATCGTATCCCTCTTACCTCTACATTGTAAGTTGTCTTACTTTTTTACTAAAGAGACACTAACCTTAATTTTTATGTATGTTGGCTGTATGGTGTAGCCCAGCGTTTCTCAACTTTTTTCCAGTCGCAGCACCCTTTAAAAGTATAAAAATTCCCTAAGCACCCCAGTCTTAAATGTGATGCCTTTTAAGGGTGGACCCTATTAAAACACACTAAAAAGTGGGGCTCCCCTTCACATCAAAGCCACCCTGTACATCAGAAGTCGTCGTCCCCTCTTCATATCAGAGGCACCCTTCACATCAGAGTCCTCAGTCCCTCCTTTACATCAGAGTCCTTGGTCACCCTTCATATCAGAGTCCTACCATGCCAAGATTTCAAGGCACCTCTGAGAAAGCCAGGAGACACCCCAGGGTGCCACTGCACAATAGTTGAGAAATGCTGCCTCAGTTGATGTTAAAAATGAGTTTTACTATTGCCTAATAAAATTCACTAATGATGATCCACAACAACTGTGTTTCCCAAAACAATAAACCTTTTTGCCCCATAGATACACAAGCAAGCACCCCCACTAGAAGACATCGCAGAAGACTGCAGTCCTGTCATGAAAGATTTACTGGTCTCGGTATTGGACAAGAACCCAAGCCAGCGTCCCTCTGCAGCAGAGCTTCTGAAACACGAGGCCCTCAACCCTCCTCCGGAGGACCAGCCACGCTGCCAGAGCCTGGACACGGCCCTTCTGGAACGCAAGAGGCAAATGAAAAAGGAACTCGAGCTGCCAGAAAACATTGCAGGTATGTTTGCATTTTAAAAGGAACCAGCGGAGATACATTTATTGGGGCTGCCTAGCTGATGCAGATATGAAAGTGTGGGCTCAAAGGCTGTGATCCTGGCCCTTCTTTTGGTTATATCCCTTCGCTGACCAGGAGAAAGCATTTCAGGTGTTACAACACTTCATTAGCTAATGATTGTTCCCGATCAGTGACTCACTATGTAGTACAGGATGGATAATGATGACATCAAATTTAAAGACAAGTCAGCAGTGGCAGCTCCCCATATTTCAATCCTGACAGGTTCCTTTTTAAGCGACCTTGTTGCTATTTTTCAAAAAGCTCCCTGCAAGGCAAATAGTTATTACTTACCTGACCTGTGTGGGTGAACAGTGCTTGGTTAAAGAGAGAAGCTTCAGCATCCAGCGCACTTCCGGTGTAGTCACATGCCTGGTACCCCCTCTACTCTGTGCTTCTTTCCACTGGTCCTTACCTTACTACTGTATCCTGCAGTAACGGGTAGAACCAAACAGTGCAATGGGGGATGATAGAACCTGACACTCATAGAAGTGTTGAATGTACAAGATCTTTCAGCAAGATTCTTTCTTCAATACATCTGGCATTGACAGGCAGCCGGACAGGTAAGTATTAACTGTTTGCTTTGCCGGGATCTGCTGGTATCAGTTTTTTTAAATTAGTGACAGGGTTCCTTCATTTCGAACTCAGAGATGCAAACTGGGTCTCAGTTCACTAAAGTCGCAGCACCTAAGCGGTGAGTTTTGATTGGTCACTATGCTGCTTGCGTGCACATCACCATTACTCTTACCAATCTCTTATTGGTTATCCCAGCAGTCCTATTTTTTCTGTTCTTCCATTATGGAAAAAGTATTTAGCTGTGAATGGAATTTGTGTTGAGCAGAAAAGGGAAGTTACATGCCCAGCTTCCTCTGCCTTCATCACGTCTAGGTTGTTTTTTTCCATTCAGGTTCATTGGGGCTAATATTATGTAGCAACTGACAATATTTCTTTTAAGCAACCCTTTGCTCAGAGAAATGTGTAAGATGCCATTTCTGTCCTAAATGTACTAGTTTCTCAAATGCCATGCAGGTCCAATGGCTTCAATATGTTGAGTCAGTGACCCAAAACCAAACACTACAACAGCTGAGATGATCTGCACGCTTGTTTTAGGTCACTGATTGTGGTAGTACTGAAGCCAGTGGATCAGCATTACACACATTCAACTAGCATTTTCAGAAGTCGAGGTCAGCCATGGCTGCATTTGTGTTTCTTCCATTATTGATCCAATGCTTTTAGACCTGCTTGGGTATGCATATGAACTTGCTGATTAGGATCAGTGAACACATGCAAGTATTACGTCTTGAAATCTTCCAGATGTACCTAACTGTTAGAAGCAGAGAACTGAAAAACAGGGTCAAATTTACTCAGCAGTTAAGCTGTTCATGGTGCAGTAATGATACAGAAATCGGCATTACCCGTTTCAATCAATATTTCCTTGAAAAGAAAAATAATCGCTGACTCCAGATTGGTTAATTCAGTTTACAGAACTTGTGTTCTTGTTCTTTGCTTTTCTAAATGACGCCCTTTGTTCCCTTCAGATTCTTCATTGTATGCCAATGAGGAGTCCGAGATTCAGAAGAGGCAGCGGTCGCTCTCGATTGACCTTGGGGCCCTTGCTGGCTACTTCAACCTGGTCCGAGGCCCTCCAACTGGGGAATATGACTGCCAATAAGGATTCATTGAAGAGCACAATGGACTCATGTGGACTTGTATTATCAAGCATCATTAATAGACAGTTGAGAAAAGTTACTTTGAAGAAGAAAAACTATGGCAACTATGCCAGAAAAACTAAAACTATGTTCATAACTATGGCACATGAAGACACATTCCATGGTGATTGCATTAAGGTGTCTGTGCTATTTGTGTGGTATAATGCTGGAGTATGATCCTATTACTCGTTAGCACGGAAATAGTGGCCTGAAGAAGCTATATCAACATTACAGAAGATGTCCAGTTGAATGTGGCTAACCACAACTAGCTAAGAGCACATGAAATTACTGGAGGACATGTTTATAGCAGTGATATGAACTGCTCATTGTATACTTCATATTCAATGTTTCTTTTTGATGTTTTTCTCTCCGGAGATATAGATCACCTTTACATCTAGAAATGTTGCCTCTTGTATCCTGTGCAATTTATCTCATGACAGCTGTTTTTATCATACAGTTGACTAAATTATTGTTCTCCTTTCCAAATGACTATCATATATAGTTGTGTTTTGAAACAGCCATTCAAAGCACAGTAAGAAGTGAAAAAGTTCTGTCTGCCCCACAGATAATGGTTGTCAAGGATCAATATGACTTTTTTTATTTAAAAAGGCTGCTTTGGGTGTAAATATGAGTGATCTGTCAGGGCCTGTTCACACCAACATCGGAAGGTAATTGTCCGTTGACTTGTGATTGAACCTTCCGATTTCCTTCTGATCCATTCCATTTTTCAACAGGTGCTACCGCAAGGGCACCGAAACATGAATAGTTGTAAATGGGGCTAGTTCACATCACTGCATTGCGTTACATTGTGGTAAAAAGGAGTGCATGTCTTTACTTTTTTTTTTCCAGTGGAACAGAGTCGTGTGAACTGGTCCCATTCACACCCATTCATTTTTTGGGTTACATGCCGTTGGCATCCATTGACATCTGTGGAAAAACAAATAGCAATGGAACTGGTGTGAATGGGGCCTAATAGAGGGTTGATTTTTTTTTTTAAGGCACTACTTCGGCTAATTTAAGATCTAAGTTGAAAGAAACCAATATTTAAGTTTTGTATCGATCGCTCTCCATTTGAATCACTCACTAGGGGCAACGTACACCAGCTAGTTTTGCTGTTTCTGCATCCCACCAAAGGCATTACAAGAGTGCCACAGTGTTCCATTTGGATGTGGCATTTACTCATCTATTTTATAGCGATGTGACACGGTTTCAGCATGAAAGAGTCAGTATCACCAATGGAGAAATCTCATCACCAGGGTTTAGGGGATAAACAAATAAAATACTCCCTTTTGTCAGTAATCTAGTGATCTGAGAACCCCTGCTTGCAGGGTAGTATAAAAAAATTCCAAAACACACCCACCATAGGCTTCTTGCTTTATCTACCAAACAGAAAGTCTTTATGTAAACAAAATAAAGGGTCTTAAAGCCACCAGGGGCCTTAAAACTTGCCTTGAATGTTTCATTGTGGTTGATACACAGAAAGCTATACAGCACATGCTCCATACGCTTCCAGTGATCTTGTGAGCTGCTGTCTGTATTGTGGCTGCAGTGGAATTCTCTGACATTAGCATGGTGGCTGCATTTGCTGGTTAGCACTGGCAGCTCACTAACTGCTTTCATTTATTGTCTGGAATTGCTCATCAACGTGGCAACATGGGTGAGATGATTTGCTGTTTTGGCTGGAAATAACTCTGTAGTTCGGGATGGGCAACCTTGGCACTCCAGCTCCCATCATGCCTCTGATAGTCATGGCTGTCAGAGAATTGCAATGACTCATGGGACTCCAAAACAGCTGCAGCTATTGGAAGAAATAGTGAATAGTATACTATTTTATTATTGATTGCAATGGCTTCACATGAGATGAGGGGGTGTTTGAGGTCTCCTCTGCCCCTCTCTACTCATTGATGGACAAATCTGGAAATGAAACATCTTCAGGTGTTCGATTTATGCTCTCTGCTGTCTTTGACCAGACCATGTTATACAGTTTTCCTTTTTTAATTAGATGAAGTTGGGGCATTTCCTGCACTTTATCAGCCACAGAGCTTGTGTTATCTATATATGTCAGTAATGAAAGGGATGAACTTGCAACATAGAAGAAAGTGGGTGGCCCAATTCACTCAAAGGTATCTTATAGCCCTTTCAGACTCCAGCAGCAGCAAGGTTTCCTTATGGATTTTTCCCTGCTGGGTCCCCACTACCACTTCGTCTGAGTGTGTATTCCTTCTTTTGCCTGAATCACCTTATAAAATAAGAGAGGTTCAGCATAATAGCTATGAATTAGGCAGATAGATGCACTCTGTCTTACTGCTGAAATCCCTGAACATTGCAAGTGAGTGATCCATTTTTCTGATATACCTTAACCCAAAAACAAAGTATCAGATTTGGGTGAATGCAATCTTTAAATATTACATGTTTTATATCTTTATGTCAAGCTTTTTCTACATGTCAGATTAACTGTCCTGATTCACCCGATATTTATTAATCTAATAGCTGCACAAATAATCATTAGCACTGTCTTGTATTGTAAGTTCTGTGTGCAGATGTTTTGTGTTAAAATATACAAAAAAAATGTTTTTGTAAATGAAGAACATGTTCCTGTGGAATACCAAGTTCATTGCTGTATATGACATGTAACTATTAATGTTTGACAAGACATTTAGTACATCCTGATGGATGGGCGAGAGATGATGAAGCAACCCGGAGCGTTGATCGCATCTTGGTCAGCCAGAGGGTTAGTGGTGCTTGTTCAGCATGCACCATCGATTAAGTAGATCATACTGTGTATGATAACCAGGGACTTTTCATGATGACCTAGATGGCTTGTCAATTAGCATTCGTTCTAGAGTGCCGCTGTGATCCATATCTAACAGTAGGTGTATAAGATAACAAGTAATAAATGGTATCACAACATTGTATGGTTTCTGATTCTTATTTTACCAACTTTAGAGTACATATGGACTCTGTTATAATAAAAATAGTTTATCCTGATCTATAGCAATTCATCTGATTTCAAAAGTATTCTTCTGCTCTGCAAAACAAACATGCTCCCTACTATTCAAAACATTTAAAAAAAAAGTTTTGCCAAATTTTACCTCCTTTAAAAGCTTTGGGGGTAGCCAAACTTTGACCCTGCAGCTGGGGTTTACCTAAAAATCCCATCATGCCTCTGCCTTTGGGAGTCATGCCTGAGGCTGTCAGAATCTTGCAATGCCTAATGGGATTTGTAGTTTCACCACAGCTGGAGAGCCGGAGTTTGGCTACACCTGTCATATGCTATCATGTTATAAAATCAGCCTTGTAATAGGAATACATAGTAGAGTTGTTTTTGATAATACAATCAAAGGCTACTGGAAAAAAATAAATTTTTATGTCGTGAGTGCTGCCTTCCGTCTGCCCATCACTATCACCAACTTCCTGCATCTCTTTCCCTGCTGCTTGATGTGACGCAATCTCCATTTCTCAAGACAACATATCCCATCATGCATTGCTTCCAGCAAGCAATGATAATGTTACATTGTTCAGATGCTGAGTTGAAGCTCAGAGGGAAGGCTCTGTGAGAGTTGTCACACAAAAGTGCATATTCACAGGGCTAATTGAAATCGTGTCAGTGCACTGAGGAAGTACATCCTATGGGCATCTTCAATAAGTTTATAAACTTCTAGATGGATATGGTTGTTAGGAGTGTGAAATTCAACATAGAAATACATATTTATTTTCAGTTTTTGACCATAGATACCCTTTTAAAGGAGAACTATGGGGTTAAGGCTTTTCCCCATAGTTCTCCTTAGGGTAACGGGAGGACACAAACTAGCGTCCTCCCGTCACCCTAGGCTCAGTATACCGCGAGCTATAGCTCGCGGTATACTGAGACGCCGCAGTATACCGCAAGCTGCTGCTCGCGGTATACTAAGACGCTGAAGCGGATCCTGACAATTGTGCCGGGATCCGCCCAGCTGCGTGACTGACAGCTGGCTCTGCCTATATAGAGGCAGAGCCAGCTGTATCCGCCCCCCTCCCCCGTCCGTTCCGCCAGTCAGCGCTGGCGGATCGGAGCGGGGAGGGGGGAATCCAGCCCCTCCCCTGTCACGGCAGAGAGCCATGACAGGATCGAGAGGGGAGCGAACGCCAGTATGTGTTCGCTCACCTCCCGATCTACGGAGCCGACCTGTGACAGTCTCATTGTCACAGGTCGGCTAGAACTATGAGGTGAGTGAAAAGCACTCACCTCATAGTTCTCCTTTTAAGGTGCATAGTTATAAAACCATGAATATGAAATTCACCATTCACAGCAGGTGAATCAATCGCTGTAATTTCAAACACATGTACCAGAAAGATACACTTGCATTGAATGTTTGGTGACTGTCTTATTCACAACTTTTCAAATATATGAACATCAATATTTATTATTGGCATTTATATAGCACCAACAACTTACACAGCACTTTACATAGCTGCATATTCACATCAGTCCCTGCTCTCAATCTAAGGTCCCTATCTCACATACATACATAGTCAATTTAGACAGGAGCCAATTAACCTTCCAGCATGTCTTTGCAGTGTGGGAGGAAACTGGAGGAAACACATGCAAGCACAGGGAGATCATGCAAACTCTTTGTCGATAGTGTCCTGGTTGGGATTTGAACCAGGGACCTCCAGTGCTGTAAATTGGAAGTGCTAACCACTAAGCCACTGTGCTGCCCTAATAGATAAAAACTCAATTAATCTATTTAAAGAAAGTCCTTTGATGCAACAGAAACTGCATTACCCCTAGTTAAAGTGACCCTGTGCTCAGAATATATACAGTATACAATATGTTGCACTATGGCGTGGTAAAGCGCATTATACTGCATCATTATTGGTAAACAGTATAGTCTGTATGGGTTACTCACATTTGTGTTGCCCCCTGCTTGCAGATTTAGGGGTCTATTCACGAAGCTGCCGAGGGCAGCCGATTGAATGACCGATCTGAAGTGAAGTGAGCCGAACACTGTTCGGCTATTCACTTCAGGCTGGTACGGCTGATTTCAGCCGTACATTGGCTTGGTTTGAGT